CTCTTGGAAGAATGAGATTTAAAATTGTTTTTGGGAGAATTAGGGCGGGATTTGTGTTTTTTATGCTTTTTTTTGTTATTGTATTCTTGCAAGGATTAATTGCTAGAATTACTACTATGACTGTGCTGGGAAGAATTAGAACGTGATTTACTATAACTTTTTTGTTTTGAAGAGTTGTGACGGACTTTACTATGACTACGTAAATTTAAATCTAACAATTCATTATTTTAAAAGATATAGTATACATTGTGACTATAAATGCAAATTAAACACTATAACCATTTAAAATAATTCTTTATCATCATTTTGATTACTCATTTTTTTTTAAGGAATCCTTGTTAGACGTTAAATCTAAGCTTTCTAAAATAGTTGCAAACAAGAAACTTTGATAAACAAAGTATAGTCAACTCTTTCTAAAACGAACTGAAGATTCTGGAAAAAAAAAAAGTTCATTATAGGGAAATTACTATGTTTTCTTAAGAACTCCATGCAACTTTTTATACCGAACTATTATGAAATTTCAAAATTTTAAGTTCGTTATATCTAGTGTTTGTTATAGGAAGGTTCGTTATATCCAGAGTCGACTGTAAATTTTGATAGTGGAGTTAGTAAAGAGTTACATAAAGGGTTGTGTAAAGATGAAAGTAAAAAAGTTTCACTAAAATCTATAAAAATAAGAACTTACATTTTTATAAAATAACTTGGTCGATTTCAATTAAAATATACTGAAGAATCTATCGCTGCTTTAAATTATTGAATTTGTAAATCCTATGAATCCCACATATTGTCATTATCTTCACAATGGTAATGCGAGATTTATAAAATTTGCAAAGTTCAATAATCACACTAATTCGCGAAATCAGTGTAGGTATATGAATATCGGTGGTGTTTAAACGATTATTAACAATAGTCTTAATTTCTCTCATATACCATTATATAATGGTTAAGACTGTTAAAAGCTTGCCTGTTTGGGATGAAGTTCAATACGAGAAATGCCCTTTCTGCATTTCGTTTGTTCTGATTGTGATTAAAAAACAAATATACTATATAGTAAATTAAGTGACCTCTACTACATAGTTAAATTAAAAATTAATTCGGCAATTTTACTAATTCAATACTAATGATAAAATTATTTCATTACTCTAATCTTATTTTACAATCTTATTTAATTAAAAATCTATTTTTCAAGATATTTTATATCATACTTCATTACCAATACGTATATTACTATTTAATACATCAGATGACGGTGCTACAGCAACCAATTCTTTAGAAAGGCCAACAGTGCATTGTAAATTATTTAAGAAAAGTGAGGTGAAAACATAAATTACTTAGGTGGGCTGTGCAACTGCTATTGCAGCAAGTAAAGCAACACCATTACTACTAGAAAAAGTTCATACTTTTATAATTATATAGATAAATTAATGATTTATAAAAGCAATCAAATCAAAACAACTCTTTCCGACGATCACTTGGTCAACAACAATTTACCGAACTACAGTCAGCGATATAGGAAAGCAACATAGTGGATACAGCAATATTCTTGGTTTTGCACTAAGCAAACTTGTTGTCGACGAAGCCTACAATACGTGAAACACCGAGGAGCGGGCGTATAAGAATATTAGGCGGGTTTGTGCCTTGGGTCAAGTTTTTCTTTCTTCGACGGACTCCCTCGCACGTTCGGCATCCAAACTAGAAGGTTTATTCTAGGAACAAGTAGAGCAAAGTCTCTGGGCAAGAATATCAAGTAGATACTTGGAAACTGGACTATACAACTGTAAAACTTACAAGAAGAACCTCACATATTCTCGTTGACCCTCCACTTTTTTTTCGGGGAAAATTTTGTAAAAAAGTGGGCGATTTAGCTTACCCCCTCCAAAAGATCGACATATTGTTTACTTACCAAATCGGTCGGCATTGTTTACTTTTTTTTTCCCATCACAACAAACATGTGGATACTTATGGAATGTGGATATATGGATTACGTGCCTCGGAAGTGGCAAACCGGACAAACAATGCTTCGAGATCATTCTTGTGAATTTCCGACTTCTCTATAGTGCCCGAAGCGCGCTTTTGTTTACGCTTCTATGGGAGTTTAAGCAAAAGAAGCTGGATTGCTTACAGTGCTAGAGTACGGTGCTGATGTTGAAGAGCTTTTTTTTCCTTTAGGTTTTCGCTTAAATATACTAATTAGTTAAATTAGAGTAGAGACTAGTTTAGATAG